AAAACCCAAAAAGATTTGCTATATAAACTCGTGTAAATATTCTGCTGTATGTAGTCGACGGAATCTTCTTTAATATATGTATCCACACACACCTGAGTTGTGTTCTGAGTTTATAACATTGGCGACGAGGATTCACTTAAGCAAGTATGCCTCCTAAATCGAGGAAAGCGTTGAAAATTGAAGAATTCGAGCCAGACGAAGACATATTAGAAACCACATGCAAATGGAAACTGTGGAGACGAAGACTTGAAGTTCAAATGAAATACTTCGACATCGTAAAGCCTGAAGACATGAAAGCAGCGTTGTTAGTCCATGGTGGGGATAGAATTCTTTCTATAGACGAGAATGGAGCTGAACCGGAGGGAGATCTTGACGAATACGAGAAGCTTATTGCTAAAATCGAGCATGTATATGTTGCAACAAACACAAGACTTCACGCCAGATTTAGATTCAACAAAGCCGTTCGACAACCGGGCCAATCTATCGCACAGTATGAACTTGAACTTCGACGACTCGCTAAAGAATGCGATTTTCACGGACAGGATGATGAGATGATCCTAGATCGTTTAATATTAACGTGTAAAGATGAAAGCCTACAAGCGAAAGCATTAGAGAATAATTGGTCGCTTGAGAACTTCTTGAAATATGCAACTACAAAGCAAGACGTCGAAGCACAAAGAAACGAAATGAAAATCAAGAGCGAACTTCCCGAATTTGAAGTGCGAAGAGTAGCTAATAAAAGATTCGCGAGAAGGAAATCACAGAAGTTATATTCATTTAGAAATCGCGAAAACCCGAGGAAACTCTCGAATGACGAAAAAGAGAAGAAAGCTTGCACCAAGTGTGGACGTGATAGATCACACCCTATATGCCCAGCTGCCGAGAAAGAATGTTTCAACTGTCGGAAGGTTGGTCATTTCAGTGCACAGTGTTTCTCGAGAAAATTGGACAACAGAAATAAGCAAGTAAAAGCTGCCGAAGCTGCCGGATTGTGTGGTGGTCATGGGACGAATGATTCTATACTAGACCGTGTTGCTTCATCTGATTCTGATCCCGAATTTTACAGATGTGTTAGCGAGAAATTGGGTATACGGGCGGTCAAAGGACAAAATGCTAGCAACATTTTATTACCCGTCCATATATTTGGAGTAAAAATCATCGTTGATCCAGATACTGGCGCTGACGTTGATCTAATCTCCGTAAGCGATTTCAAGAAAATTCATGAAGGAAATCCCGATGTTGAGAGGCAGATTAAGAAGCCAAAAACAGAAGATCTACGCCCTGAATGGTGAAGAAATTAAGTTATAGCTACAATTAAAGATGCAAGGATGTCAAACAAGAACGCAGAGACACTCGCCGATCTCTACATTGTTGAAGATTGTATCCATAAACACTCCTTGTTATCCGAAAGAACACTGATGAAACTCGGTATGATTAAATACAGCGCTGAGGGAGAGTTTGTTAAGAAAGTCGATGCGGGCGTAAGTGACGACACTGAACGAAAGTGTAAACCTGAAGAGGAAATACCGCTCAAGAAGAAAGAACTCAGAAACATCCTGCAGAAGCACAAGAAAATGTTCCATGGCATAGGAACACTAAAAGATCCTGAAACAGGTGAACCAATCCTTACCCACATCGAACTGAACCCCGATGCACAACCTGTCATACAAACTCCAAGACCCGTGCCACATCATCTCGCAGAAAGAACCAAAAAGAAATTGGATTACTTCGTGGAAGAAGGGATAATGACTTGGACTAAACCTGGAGAACCAATTTCATATGCCAGTCCACTTGTTATCACGCCGAAAGGAGATCATGATGTTCGAATCACTGCAGACTTCCGATTGGCTAACAAAGGAGCATCAAGGACTCGCATCGTGCCTGGTTTACGAATAGACGAGCTGTCTGCGTCCTTTGGCGATTGCAAAGTGTTCTCACATTTGGATATGAATAATGGCTATCATCAAATGAAAGTTGACGAGGAATCCAAGAAATATTTAGTCGTGACCACGCCATGGGGGAATTTGAAGCATGAGACGCTTGCGCAGGGATGGATAACCAGTCAAGATGAATTCGACAGACGAATAAACGAGATTTTAGCGGGAATTCCTTATGTGAAATGTAACCGAGATGATTGTCTAATTGGTGGAAAAAACTGGGACGAGCATAATCGAACACTCGATCTAGTCCTGACGCGTCTGCAAGACCACGGATTGACATTGAGATTAGAGAAGTGTGAATTTGGAAAGGAAGAAGTTGAGTTTTATGGTGTCAAATTTACGGCAGAAGGAATCAAACCATCAGAGAAAAAAGTGAGAGCATTACAAGAATGTGGAGAACCCAACTCAAAAGAAGGAGTAAGGAGTTTTCTGCAAATGGTGGGATATATGTCTCGTTTTATCTTTAACTTCGCCCAGATTGCTGCACCGTTGCGACAGTTAACGAAATCAACATCAACTTTTTCCTGGGGACCTAAAGAACAGGAAGCTTTCGAAAGTCTAAAGAACAGTTTGACGGAGCAAACAACCCTTGCCTATTTTGTTCCTGATAGACCAATGAGGATCTACGTCGATGCTGGAAAGAAGACAGAAAAATCTAGCAACGTTCCAGGGGGACTATGTGCCATTCTATGCCAACAAGACGACGAGGGACAATGGAAAATGTGTCATGTGGCCAACCGTGCTTTAACTGATGTTGAAACAAGATACGGACAAACCGAATTAGAAGCTGCTGCGATCAAATTTGCGTGTGCTGATGCCTTCTATAAGTATTTGGTTGGTGCGCCAAAGTTCGAGATTATCACGGATTGTAAACCACTTGTGCATCTCTTTAATAACCCAGCGTCGAAAGCACCGTTACGAATCGAGCGACAGATTCTTGCCATACAAGGTCTAGATTATGTGGTCAAGTACCAAAAGGGAGCTGAAAACATCGCTGATTATGGATCAAGACACCTGACGAAAAATCATAACGATGTTCCCACGGTGAAATCAGTGAACGAGATGGAGGAAGGATTACGAGCAGTAGTCTCTGAAGAAAACGTGTACCTTTCGAAAATCGCGAAAAATGATAGCGACTACCAGTTCCTGAAAGAAGTGATTCAGAATAACCTTTGGAAAAGACATAGAAATGATAGAAGAATTGCAAGATTTCTCGGAGTAGCGTCCGACCTATCTGTTGTTGAAGAAATCATCCTGTATAAAGATAAAGTTATTCCCCCTCTCAGTTGTCAAAGAGAATTTGTCCAGAAAGCGCATAAGATTGGGCACTCAGGAGAAACCCGCACACTGAAGCTTCTTCAGGAGAAGATCTGGTTTCCTGGAATTGCCAAACTATGTAAAGAGATTGTACGAAATTGTCAAAGCTGTCAATTCACCCATCATCGCACCTACGACGAACCGCTCCAATCAACACCATTGCCGCCAGGTCCTTGGCATACGATTTCTGTGGATTTCAAGGGACCGTTTAAGGATGGAACTTATGCCCTGGTCGGGTATGATCTCTACAGCCGTTACCCTGTTGTAAGTTACTGCAGATCCACATCGTTTTCATGTGTGAAACCAATCCTGGATTTGTGGTTTTCAACGTTTGGAACAGTGAAAGAATTGAAGTCAGATCGAGGACCTCCGTTCAATGGACATGAATTCAGTGAATATGCTCGTGAGAAGGGATTCATACATAAACCTGTGAAACCTAGACATCCGATAGGAAATGGTGAAGCAGAGAAATTTATGCAGAACCTGAAGAAGATGGAGCGGATTGCAAAAGTAGAGAAGAAGAAATACCGCAATCTGATTGAAGGAATGTTAAATGCATACCGTGCCACACCGCATCCTGCTACAGGGAGAAGTCCATTCGAGCTCATGTTTGGAAGAAAAATGAGACTTGGTGTATTGCCGGAGATATCAGATGCATTCAAGCACGAATATGATTGTGAAGTCAGAAAGAATGATGCTTCGTATAAACTCAAGTCCAAGAGATATCACGATAAGCGTAGAAATGTGAAAAAGTCCAGAATTGCTGTTGGAGACAGGGTTCTCATGAAGAACAGGCGAACAGATCCACTAAGTATTATTCCGGGTAGAGTAACCCAGATACATGGACACGGTGTAACAGCTCGATTTGATGATGGGAAAGTGTTCGTGCGAGACAAGTCACATTTCAAGATCGTACGCAAGACATCGCAGTTTGAGAAAGGAGAACTAGCAGAGACAAGAGACGATTGTGACAAAGTAGTAGATCAGTCAATCAATCCACAATGTGGCAGACAACCTGTTTATGTGACGCGCCGAGGACGTGAAGTTTATCTGCCGGATCGATTCCAAAGTTGAGGGAAGAAAGGGATGTTGTGAGATCATTATTGACATATATTGTAGTTATAGGCGAAACTAATATAAACTCATTATGCGAATTAAACAATTAAGTATTGTTATGTTAATCAAGTAAAAAACCCAAAAAGATTTGCTATATAAACTCGTGTAAATATTCTGCTGTATGTAGTCGACGGAATCTTCTTTAATATATGTATCCACACACACCTGAGTTGTGTTCTGAGTTTATAACAGTAATGTGCTATATCGTTTTGATATTTCAGATAGAGTGTATAATATAATAATCAGGTGGTCGATAAATAACGATAAGAGGCTGCTTGAAGTTGTTTTGCATGTCGAAACGTGGGCGGGTGGGCGTTCGGTGAGTGCATTCATTCCTATAAGACTTTTTCCCATGACGTATTCGGCATCGACGTAATTATATTCCCCCCTTTTGTTTTAAAGTTAGTAAGTAATGTGATCCATACATACATAAACAGGATTTAAGCAATTTCTGAAAATTCTTCTAGTCTTATACACCGCGGAATGAAGGATCTCATCAAGGAAGGGGCCTTCCGTCTATAAAGCGCGCGCCGCAAGTAATTGTGGTGTTTATCTTTTAGATGGTGATGAAAGGTTTATTGATGATCTGTTTGTTTCTCGTGGTCTTTGAATTTTCGCGGGGAAATTTGATGTCAAGACGTAAGAGCCTTAATGATAAAGACAGCCATCGTAAGTATTCGTCATGCAAAATTTTCAGAATAATGGAAATATTTTGTTGTACAAATCATTGCATGTATATCTGCTACTGCAGGCATAACTTTTACAACATTAATTTCTTATAGAAATAACTGATTGCGAAACACATGGTGGATTTTGTATACCTTTCTATCAAAATAGTCCAACCTGCGCAGACTATGGCGCATTGCCCTACGCATATTCGTGTCTTTTAGGAGCAAACTGTTGCCGCTAAGACTGAAACTAAGATGTGGGACAGGTACACTAAACTTTGTGTAAGTAAGTTTTTTTTTATTTTTACACCAAGAAAGTGTTATAGGAGCGCGAGCATGGTGTAGAGATGCTCGTCTCATGCCTATAGCTACACGCAAATGGTGTGCGATTTAGGATAACACATCTTTAGTGTTCTCCAACACCTTTTTCATGTTAGGTTAACACTGCGATCATATTCCCCCTGGAATCAGGAGTGTTTTTTTACATCAAACATTTCATTTTGAACGTTTGAATACACTACTGTTCAATTTCATGAAAACCAACACGAAAATTATTATCATTAATAAAAACTTTTTAGCTCTTACTCTCTTCCATTGTTTTTTATAGTCGTCCTAATGAGTTTTTCTTTGTACTTTTCTTTAGGTTGTGAGTTGGTTTTCAAGTTGAAAGTAGTTACAGAACAATCGACGAATGTCATATATACATATATATATATGCACTATTTATGGTGTTCTGAAATTGTAGAAATAGATTGGCTGGAACTTTAATAAAAATAACGGGTGCGACTATAAATGTATGCTTGGACATTTTATTACTATATTTTGCGTTCATTATAGTCAGTATATTACTTTAACTTTTATATACTTTTCGCAATATTGAAGTGAATGAGTTTTGCTTTGATTCTGATTTTCCTTAAAGTACGCCTAGCGTTTTTTAAAAAGGGGTAATATAATGAACAAGTGACGTGTCATCGGCAACTCTTTATGGCGCTTGCGATATACAATTAAACATAGAAGAATTAGGTCTAGAGGTCTACGAGAATTAGGAAGTGTAATAGAATTAGGTCTTGAAGCCTTGTCGCATCTGTTATAAATTCTCATTTTCAAATTTCGATTGTTTGGACTAATTGTTTTTATATATAAATCAATTTACATAAGCATATACATACGGTAAATAACTTGACGGAAGACTTGTGCGTGACACTCGCGAGTATAACGAGTAGCGCGACTGCGAGCCCGTATTGGGCACGAATGGCGAGTTGTTCGAGTCAATCGCTAGTATCGAGCATTAGTAAAAGGGACACAATGATTAGTTGTGCTCAACTAAATTTTTTTATTTCATTAGTGCATGTAAACGTTCCTTAATACATAATTTATTGTTATAAAGAGCTTTAAGTTAACGACAACTTGACCCACGATGGGTAATGAATTAGTTTTAATTTAGCTGTAACACTTAGGATCTCTCTCTCTCGTATTTATTTTGCCGACATTTTTGAGTTCCTCTCTTTTTTCCTATCCCTCAATGTCCCTTAATCTCACTCTTTCAATATCACACACTCTCCCCCTATTTACTTTGGACTGTGTTGAAAGGTAAATATGAATAACATTAACTATGAAGTTATGGCAGAAAGCCAATTGTTCACTTTTTAACGCCGTGTATAGTCTCTACGTATCTGTTCGAGTTGAATGTTCTCTTTCGCTAACGTCGCCGCCTGTCTTTTGGTCTGAATTTTTCATCCGTCGCATTCAGGTCGACCAGTTTCTTTCGATCACACGACAACTCTAGTGGATACAAATGTTGTATTGTCGGTCTAAAAAGGACTTACCCACCCGGAGCCGTACCGCTCGCACGACACCGTCCCTGCCTTTTATCAGCTCATCTAACAGTCCAATTTTCCATTTTCCGCGATTTCGTTCCTCTCCCTTAATCAGAACAACTTCCCCAACCTTTGCGTTCAACTCTCTGGTTTGGTTCTTTATGTTATGCCGCTCCCTCAACGCCTTAGAATATTGCAACGGACCTACACCGTTGCACGTACTTCGCCCTTTTTCTCAATGCCACGTCAGCGTCGTCGTCACCGTCAAGTTCTGTCCCTTCATGGCCAGAAATTGCGGACATCGAATATGCAGATTGCCGTAGCAAATTTGCATATCTTTTCAAATATTATTCGTTTGCAGAACTATAAATTATATTGCGCATTCTTAAATTTCGCAAAATTTAAGAAAATCATTGCATCTTTGCAATTTGCCCTGGTTGTTTCTTGTAATTCGTGTCATATTAAAGATCCTGAGGTAATATTTTGCTGGTAAAGGTTTATGTTGGCTCTGCATTTTTATTTTATTTCTACGCTATTACGGTTTTTGTTTTATATGGTATTCAACGTGATAAATAATCAAACTTTTTTTTGAAAATGCAGGACGAATACTGATAAAATATTTTGAAATACTATATAAAAATATTAAGATTAACTTGCTCTGCAACGAGTAATTAAGGCAAATTATAATTGACCTACCTAAAGGTGTATTTTTAGCGTTTAGTACTGTGCACATTACAGTTTACTATAAACTCACGAAGCTTTATTTTGACACCATATGCAATTTTAGGCGGAAGTAGAATGTTAATTATGTCCGAATTTTCTGGCCATGCTGGGAACAGGTTTGGGCGTCCAACGATCATAGTTTGTTGGGTGAATGTTGGAATTTGTATATCGTCTACAACATTACTCAAAGGTCGATTGTTTAAAACAATTTCAATATCTTCTGCTTTGCCAACTAGTTTTGTAATTTCTCGTCTTTCATCGCTCTTTTTAACCACTTTCCTGCCGCTACAAATGTCTTCCTATTGTCTGAGTAGATTCGGTTTCACCGGCTACGGCTGGCGATAAAGCACTTTTAACTTCAAATACATTCTTCTGTCGTAAGGTTAGGCAGCAACTCTAAGTATAAAGCGCACAGTTTACTACATGCATAAAGCAAAATGTAGCTACGATATCTGTCCTGCATAATCAATGCCGACAACTTGAAATGGCCACGATCCTTCAGTCGGATCTCGTGGAAGATTTCCAACAAGTGGCTGAGCAAACGCTGTCGGGGCACATATTCATATATTCATATTGTGCAAGATTATTTTTTTTACGCCACTGCTATCCAGTGAAGCTGTCAAGCCACCCGAACACGTTAGTTACGGGGAACCCAGTTAGTGCTTCTTTCATGTTGTGTACTAAATTGGTACCCATGTGCGCATTGAGTTAAACAACGCTGACATCACCATAGTAACAGAATCCTGGCTATCAGAAAGCATCCTTCATCGGTGGTAAACATCGGAAAGTCCTTTAATATATATCGTAAAGATGCATGGACCTACCCCTGGGGGCGGCATTCTTGCCTATGTACATAACTCTATACCAGCAAAAAGACTCCACCATCTTGAGACAAATGATATGGAAGTGCTCTGGCTTATACATAATCCAACGAGAATGCGAAGACCTTATAGCTGCCTAATCACTGCTGGAGTATATTTCCCCCCGAGTAAGTCTGCTAATGAGGCCAAAGAATTCACGGAATATATAACAAAATGTCTCGACTCCATACTTAAGGATAGACCATCAGCGGCCATAGTAGTTACAGGAGACTTTAATCATCTGAACCCAAGTCAAATTTGTGAAAGGTTCAATTTGCGGAAGGCAGTTTTTGCCCCTACTCGTGGCTCAAATACTCTGGACCAACTCCTTACGAATGTGTCCAAACTCTACAACAAAATGCAACATCTTCCCCCCCTGGGTCGATCTGACCACCAATGCATCCTTTTCACACCAACATATCAGGGAAATCAAAGTAAGGCAACAACAAGATCTGTGAGAAATCTACATCCTGAAAACATAGTCACAAAAATTCAAACTTCTTGGGGTCACCATGCAAAACGACCTTAAATGGAAATCTCATGTACAAGATATCATTAAAAAGGCAAGTAAAAGAATCTATTTTGTGAGGGCTTGTATAAAAGCAAATCTTCCAAGTGATATAGGACTAATGACCTATTGTACAAAGATAAGACCCATCCTGGAATATGGGGTGCCAATGTGGGCAGGCATACCAGATTACCTAAAGGAGGACATCAAAAGAGTACAAAACCGCTGTCTATATATTTTTGGATTACCAAGGAATAAAATCGAGTCACTTGCATCAAGGAAAAACTATTTAACAAGTAAAGAGTATGAAAATATACTAAATTCAGAAAATCATCCATGCAAGAGACTGATCTGTGGTACAAATGAAAATGAACACAATCTAAGAACAGGCTGTAACCCTCTTTCGGCGCCTTTTTCATCGACAGATAGACATAAACAATCTTTTATATATACAGAGAGCTGCCTGGCTGAGGTATTTTAATGTACATAGTAAAAACTAATTAACTAAAATAGTCATACTTGCATGCATTTTTACAAAGCAGTTTTATAAATATAAATAGAGTATATATACCCAAGTTTAGATATAGGAAAAATTTTTAAAAATTTTATAGAACTGATCGATGTAAATTCTTATAATATTTTTAATGTAATACCGCTGTAATTCTTTGCCAAAGGCGGTAAATAAAATCTATTATTATTATTATTATTATATTATAGACACCAGCTCTTAATTGTCTAGAAATAGCCAAACCCTGATTCGCTAAGCCGGATTTCGAGGCAATTAGGCCTTGACTAACAACGCTAGATTGATGTACCACTGCGCTGCGTAGACCGCTGTCGAAACACCTTTCCCACTTGCGTCGCTGAATGCGTGAAGTTGGATCTCCTCAATTTCTTCCCGATTTTTCACGAGACTTCTTGGAACTGTGACGTATTCAGGCAGTGACTTTTCCCAACACAACCAATGGTTAAGGGTTAATAGGATGGGGGTATCTACTTGTTATAAGTCTTCTGAACATTGCATACGTCTCGGTAAAGCATTTTCCCATTGAGTGTGATCGGCGACACTAGTCCAAGTGGATCATATATTCTCGCAACAGTTCCAAGGTATACGTGCTTTGTTGGCTCTGCTTTTGGTTGAGACACTTAGGCCCACCTTCACAGCGATGGTATCTTTCGTCTTAATCCAGGCCAGATCTAGTAGCTTCGCTTCATGCCGTTTCACTCCGAGGCACTTTTTCGCGTAATTTTGTTCTTGATCGAGGATGGACGGGTTGGTTGTTTCCAGATCGGGATCATTGGAGTGCCATTTAAGTAATTCAAGTGCAATACTTCTGCGGAAATATTTCCTCCACTAATAAGTTCATCTACGTACAGGTTTTGTTTGATTTCCTCTACTTCAGATGGGAATCTTTCTTGACAATGTAGCAAATGCTGTTCAAGCACTCTCCCCAGGAGAAAGAGGGATGGCGCCAGGCCAAAAAGGGCTCTTGTGAATCTTAATACTTCCACCTTTTTAGTTCTTAAATCTTCAAACCAGTGGATCGGGATGTTCAGCCTTTATCCACACCTAGCTGTAAGAATGCTTGCTTCAAGTCACCCGTAATGGCTACTGGAGAGAACCGATTCCTCACTAACACACTCTGGAGTAAGTTCTGCAAGGGTGGTCCAGTCTCTAGACACTCATTTAAGGAGGGTGCCTTTTCATGCCCACGAGCAGAGGCGTCATATACTATCAGAAGTTTCGTTGAATCAGCCGTGTCGCGAACGACTGGCTTGTGTGTAATGTAAAATTCTATGCAAAGGCCTTCTCTGCCAATTTCTCTGCAATGCCTTGGGAAAACTGATCATGGATGACATCATCATACCTCTCGATCATACGAGGCTGCTTTTCATTGCTATATAGGTATGGGTGGATGTCATCCTTTCAAACGAAGTCCTGTCTTATTATTATGATCCATCTGGACGTCGGTTTAACTGCTCTTTAAACGCGTACATCAAGTTTACCCAGGTTTTCATAGTCTATGGTCGAGGTTTGGTTTGGAACATGTTTGTCAAATCCATTTCTTTTCCAGGCGAGATGAGGGTCCAGCGAAACCGAGTTGGCTCTCCAGGTTCGCCAATCCGTGGTTGGGTTTCAGTTTTGATTCTTGCGTATTCGCCTGTATCCAGAATGAGATGCACGGGTAACTCATGCTTGTCATCTTCATCTCGGATGTTGATCCCTTTGAGGTGTTCATGTTTGGCAATCTTCTCCTTGTATCTAGGATTTTCAAGGTAAGGGAGTACATAACGATCAACTTTGATCACTTCTGTCTTGAGAATAAAGTTCGCCTCCAAGCTATCAATCTTGATTTGGTGAACTTTATTTATTTATTTATTTATTTATTTATTTATTTATTTATTTATTTATTTATTCATTTATTTAGTTAACTTTGCCAATACAAATGACAGGACGTCAAACAGGCGTCTGGACAAAACAAGGACAAGAATGGCAGGGACACCACAACAGTGAAAACCAATTACTGTGGGCCCTTCAACGTCAACTTCTATAATTTTAGTGCTTGTTTGCATCATCATGTCAATTCTTCGATATTCGTTTCGAATAGGTGGTTTATTTAGACGAGAAATAAGGGTTGCCGAAGCATACGAGCTTCCTGCTCCAGTGTCTAACAGAGCTCTGCACTGGATTCTATTTCTATGTACTTCTACTATAGTGGAAGTAGTGCATATTTTAGTATGGTAATTAACATCAAGTCGAGGGTATAAATATGGCAGCTATTGTATAGAGTTTATTACATATTTTAGATTAAAAACTTGTCTTTACACGTGGAGGTCTGGCTGTGCTTTTGTACTTCTACAGGGTAGGTTACTCCTTCGCCCGTAGCAACAAGAAGTAGAGACTGACTTTTCAAGGTGTGATGCCTTGATTGCCTTCGCTTACACTTACGACATCTAAATTAGCTTCGACATTCTGATGCTTTATGATTTTGTCCGGTACAGTTAAAACATCGTTGTATTGTTGAAAGGACGTTCTTCCGATCGGCTACAGTAACCACATTCGTGCACTCTGGTGGTTTATGGTCGGGTTTTTCACAGTACACACATGGACACGGTTTAGATTCTCGCTGCTCTATTTGGAAGCTCTTAGATCTCTTTGGATTTTTTTCACTGGCTTTCTTGCTGTTCACAATAGGATTTCTCACCGTCCACTGTCTTAGTGCTTCAATGAGTTCTGGAATGAGTTCTGGGAGTTTTTCACCAGAGTTTGACTTCTCTTCGGCAGTAGCGTAGCCAGCCTGACGATTTGTCCCGCTGTGCTAATATTTTGGTGTTCATTGACTGTAAAAACAATACATTTCTAAAGAAATGAATAATTATAATAACTCGAAATTTACATAGCGGGACAAAAATCGTCAGGCTGGCTACGCCACTGCCAGTGGCGTAACTAAAAAGATAATTGGGGGGGGGGAATATTCATATATCCAGTTCTGCCCTACGGATTTCTTTTGTAATTGCAATAGTTTACAATAGAAATCCGTCGGGCAGAACTGAATATATGAATATTCACCCCCCCCCCCAATTATCGTTCTAGTTACGCCCCTGGCCACTGCTCTTTTGTACCCAGTAGAGCAAGGCGTGCTCCCTTGATTCTTTTTTCATACACCATACCCAATAACGAAACCAGAGCCCGCGATCGATCGGGGGAAGGAGTCTTCCCCCGATGGATCGCGGACTCTGGTCTGGAGATTAGCACCATTCGTTGCTGAACTTTTCTTCCACAAATTGCATGATCTCCTTTTCGAATTGTTTATGTTTGCTTCGTTTGCTTTAGAGTTTCTTAATTTAACTCTTTGATTATGCTTTCGAGTTTTGCTACATTCTCTTCGAATACTTCTAATTTGGTATCGATATCCACGGTCCACTCACGAATTCCATTCTCATCCTCGTCCTTTTGCAATTTGAGCTGTTGTATTTCGACTTTTAAACTAAAAAACCTCTTCCAACTTTGTTCTTAATACTTTTCGCAGTCTTTCCAGTAATGGTACATGTCATTTCTCGATTATTCCGTTCGTTTCTTCATTGGTTAATTTGAGTAATTGTATCTTTGTCTCGATTGATTTTAATCGCCAAGATGCCAGCGCATGTGATAACAAGTCTGCACTATAATTTTTCCTGCCCGGCAAGTAACCGCTTCTATTACGCAATGACGATCCAAACACCATTGCCATATTTGGACTGTCACACCAGTGTGGTCACACTGACAGTTCAGATCTGGTACCATGCCACCCATGTTGTTAAGATATGGTTTATGTCATATTATACAGTGGCATTATCAGAAAGAGGTTTGATCAATTTGTTACGGCCAAAACGACAAAGGGATTTTTAAAATAGCACAAAACACGGCTAAAACGGCTCTAAAACATTAATGTGTAAACCGGCCTCCAATGAAGACCATTTTCAGCCAGTTTGTCGGTTGTTGCAAACAGCTCCCCAGCCCGATTTTGAAGCATCAGCAGCGATTAGCACGCTATCAACCTCATACCTTACACTTTGCACATTGCAAAAAAATTGAACATCGATATCTTTCACATTTTAGTGAGCAAACACACATCGTCTATATCATTACGGACATACGTACTTTAATATTGAATTCAAACAATGATTAAGCAAAACAAACTCCGAATAACATTGTTTTGCAAACTCATTATTTCAGTTTTTAAAGTTAGGTTGAGTGAAGTGGCGTCAAAGATGAGATAGTATAAAATGTCAAACTATTTAAAATAGGAGAAATAATGTCTACAGAAAAATCACAAATTCATAACGAAGATTTGAGACCACTATTGCAATGACAGCTTAAATATGAACTTAATATGAAGCTCGCATGCATGCATGCCCGTCAGTTCGACAACACGTGGGCGGTGGGTCGCAGGGTTTGGACCACAATGAACTTTGTGCTACTCTTGTGAACGAATATAGAGCAAAGCGGATGATGTTATATTGCCTTTGTGCTTGACAATAATTTTCAAGTGTCCTTCAAACTTGAAAATCTTTCACGCACCCATTTAGGTCACCGAAGGTTTTGAATTCGGTCAATAGTGTCGAGTATACTCCCTAATCTAAAGCAATAAATAAATTGTCTACCTTTTCGATTGAGTTACAACTATTTTGTCTTGTTAAAAACAGTTGACGTAAGATAAAACCTTTTTTTGTTAATCTATACTAAAAAAGAGTTTTCAGAATACTTTGGTTGCACATGCACCAAGCAATAATCAACCAGAATAAAAAGATTGCTTATATAGCGTTAGATTCCGATTAGCCCTAGCTTGAATGAAAGCATTTTAAAAAGCTTATAGTTTATTCCATGAGTTAGCATTATTTTTAAGTACACTTCGACTTTCGCAAACACTTTACTGCACTTAAACTGTTTCCATACCGACTGGTAAAGTGTAAAACGTTTTTTGGATATCAAAATAAATAACATTTCCACTGAATGTCAGTCTTTGTACGAAAACTTATTGACGTTCAACTAGTTTTACGCCCTATTTAGTTTCTTTTTGGTCTAATACCAAGCTACTATATCCAATGCAAATATAAAATCTCTACGAGTTTGTTATGTGGGCACATGGAAGTTGGAAAGTATCAAAGTATCGTATAATTATATCGTTGGAGGAAACTCAAGCGCCAACAGAAACAACGGATAAAGACCGACAGAAACGGTGGTAAACACCTGAGGCAAGGGCACAAAAAATAAACGAAAATCGTTCTAAACTTCAAGATTGAAACTATTATCCGCCATCTCTCGGTCAGTACAAGCCGAATATGACTGTGCGTATTCTTTACATACAATTTTTATCACTATACTAGCTATCCAGTCAAAGTAGTATCAGTAGAAGCCTAGGTGGTCGTCAATAAACACCATCTTTGATAGAAATTATTACCCCACCAAATTTGTAGGATGTTTCCACGAATGTTTAAGAGGAGGCAAAGTAAGAAGTATTTTGAATCGGCAAACCGATTCCAGCAGTGAACGATTGGAGCTAAACGACAATAAACATGCATGCAGTGATATCTACAATATTGGGCATGAGCATTCTCAGTGGGTCAGTTCCACGTTTTAAATTAAGAATTTTGAAATTCTAGAAGAATTTGTCTTAAAAACCTTTAACTGACCATTTTTAGGTTTCAGGACTACCAATTTTGCAATTAGAAACGCTCATTTCACAAAAACATACACTCATGCAAAACGGACAAATCTCCAGAAGATTTGGCTAACAAATTCACAGGGGATTGGTAATCAATGCTTTGCAGTTTGAAATTGTCGCTAAACTAAGATTTTTTGAATCCCTTTTGTGGATTATCTTGCCTTTTATTATTGTTGTGGCCTGATCTAACCTAAATAAAAAAACACAATAAAAAGTAACAAACCAACCAAACTTGAGAACATTTTATGTCCGGTATATTTTTTAATCAACTTTGCAATACATGTACAATCAGAAAACTCCTTTGTACAGCAAGAGTATATTCGTGTTTCGTATAAACTAAGCTATTGTAATCAAATAGTAGAGAATCAAAAGTTAGCTGAACTGCAAATCACTCAGCAATGATAGTACGATGTGTAGGAACAAAATTGGATAACTATTCCGCTACCAAAGGTTCTGCCGCTACTCTTTGTGGTGTCAGGAAACACGCCAAAATGTTCGTCTCTGTTTCTATTGTCTTCAGTGTCCCACTGCAAGTATCCAGTATGAGGTCCAAGATAACCAGATTGAGGAGGATGACACTTTTCTTTGTATCGCATTAGTATCATTTCGGAACATTTGGGAAGACCATACAGACGGTTGATTCGATTAAAAGATTGCTTTACGGGATCATTACGACAGCAGAAGTAAATTTTAGTGTCGCGACCATACCATCCATCTGGAAGGACTCCGCTACGACTGTTTACATTATTATCATCTTCATCATCCCAGTAATGATATCCTTTATCCGAGAGGTATAAAAACTGTTTTAACTGGGTAGATGCAGGAATTACAACGAACTAAGCACTTTAGGGGGAAGGGACCAGTAATGTTTATAGCTAGCAATGGTTTTAGATTTTAGTGTAAAAGATAAATATTATATTTAATACGAATCATTACCCACACCTAACCTGTAGCAAATCCTCTAGGACAACGGCCACCATATCTGAAAATGCAATACGCTCCTTTGGGCCATGTCTTCCTGGTGGGAGGGTAATTTGACCGAGTTTTGCAGCAAAATCCCCATCTGAGATTATGGCAATAATTCGAATTGTACGGGACCCAGCCATGGCGTCTTGCATCGCAATACGTTTTTTGGTCGTCATCTTCAACGTCGTGTCTCCTGTAGCCTTTCGACCAACCCGATGGACATACTCGGTTTGAAGGCATTGGAAGGCAATACCTACCATCTGGCCAAGATGCTTTACTAAGGCCAAGAATGGACAACGTCCCCAATACGAAGATAGAAAACATTTTCTCGTTTTAACCAAGTGCTTAGTGTTGTGGTCTTTGCGAAGGTTAGAAGGCGTTTGAAATTTGAAATCAGTGCTTTTTATTTTTTACATTTTAATCGAGACATCCGTTTCAGCAATTTTATAAGAAAAGTTCATGATGCCTGTCTAATCAAATGAAATATAGCAAATTGGTTTAATTGTTTGATTATTATAATCCGTGTTCCCGGCACTACCTGTTTCACTACCTGTTTCACTGCAATCTTTGATTTTGAACTTGATTTTTGTAAAACCTGGCTGTTTGAAAACCAGTCAAATATGTAGTTTTTGTATAAGGCCACGTAAAAGTTTTTAAATTGGATACCGGACCAAGCCTGCGTGGGCTCACAATTTTGAGCTACTGATGAGCTATAGTCATTTGCATCGTGTACTATTACCACTCGGTCCACTCCTAGATACATTGAGAAAAGGCAGCAATGACAGCGGCTGACAGCCATACCTGATCTTCGATCGATATCTAGGCGAGATGTATATTTTATCATAGATTTGACGTTGCCAACATTGTATTAATATATTGCCGCTGCTGCCGCTGCATGGAAACACTGTCTTCGAAGAAAGAATAAACTATTCAATCATGCCAAACTTTTTCAGACCGTCAAACCACTTATATGGCATTTGCATTATGTCAAAATTTAGACATGTATGAATTGTATTTAGATACGTATTTTGTGTTTGGTATTTTCTATACAACTTCCTTCAGAAAATTACAATTATTTTATTGCTCGAAATGAATAGTTAACATACCCGCGGTATTATTTCTAATTTATTTTTTGGTAGAACTTATTTCACCAAAGCATCAAATTGTTGGTTTGCTATACAAAATTAATATTTAAAATCATTTACGAGAATACGTACCAGAGTACTGCTGTTTAATCCTACGGGTAAGAAGCATTACGCGTAGGATTAAGCCACAGTACTGTGATACGTGTGCTCAAAAATTGTGCTCAAGAAATCTTCCTGACACTGAACAAAAATCGCTGAATTCGAGATGCACGAAAGGAATATATTACATAGGCAGACTTTATATATTTAAACTTTTATTATATTGATATATTCTCTGCAAATCTGTCAAATATTAGCTCAGTATGGGAAGTTTAAAGATAACACAACGAACAACCGGTACAGCCTGAGAACTACGGTGAAGTTTTTGTTTTCAAAGTACTTAAACTAAGGCAAACAACAGGGTGAACAAAATTTGCATATTCTAGCTATAAGGGAATACTTTACACCAGCGACCTTGACTATATGACATGATATATCCTATACGATATATTATACTATAAATTATAATGCCTACCGTTGCCTGAACATTGTCAGACACGCATATTAGCATGTAAATTATACAAGTACATAAGCATGTAAATTATAGACAAGCCCAAGGACATAAGTCATAAGCATGTAAATAAATGACATAATTTGTCTATTTCATCAAAGTGTGCGTTTTTATTTCAAATAAAAAATAAAACCATTCGCCATTGGGCTGCCTATGATCTAAAATGTAATATTTTTTCCTACCGCGAGCGAATTTTTTAAGTGAGGATAGTAACGGAGCTGCTTAGATGACGGGTTTGGTTTAAACTTCATTAGTTCCTGAGTTACGAATTGGACAATGACAATCAGGAGCTACAGTCTTAAGCTTAAATAATTAATCATAGACATAGTCAAGGGTACATATAGCTTCTACTGAATCAATCTTGTTATCTGATATATTTTTATATCTGATGGATATAAATGATAAATATCAGCTGATACAACAGAGCGTACTCAAATTACGGATTATCACTGAATTCTTTTCATTTTTACAAACACAGAAAGATGCATTCAAGCTGAGTGGCTTTATCTGTTGTATCTCACGTTATATAGTATTAAGGACCACGAACCATGGTAACAGCCTACGCTTTTCAAAAATTTTCCACAATGAGCTATAGAAAAAATGATCCTGTCAGATTTTGTAATGATATAGCTAGTAGTATTCCAATTTCGTGAAAAAACCGCATATATTTCACTTTTTTCGCGCGCTTTGAAGGCTTACGCGCCATAAGGCGTGGTAAACTCGTGCCCTAAAAGCCCTCCAAACAATGATGCCTGCCTGGTTGCGTGGGCATCGCTTAATCATATTACGATATATTCCACAAAAAGCTTGACTATTCACTTCTTATTTTCCTACCGTTGTTATATTAAAACATTCAAAATCCTAGCCGACTTTTAATAAAGGAGTGAACCAAGTAATTGATATAATACATGCAAATTAGATCTCTATTTTAAGATTATACTTTGCATGCGTTTTAGCATGCATACGCCCATACGGCTATATCCACGAAACCGTCAATCATTCTGTTGAGTTTGTGAACGAAAACGGAGACCATATGAGCGGACAACTAAAATCCAGCCTCCCCACCCATGGAAGAAGAAAACACCATTATCCTTCATACGTCGCAGATTTATGTGGCGATACGTTAAATCGTGATCAAGATTTGTATACATTATTTGTCCAATGTATCAAAAATATTTATAACCCTCTAACCTAATAAGTGAGATGTGTGGTAATGAGATGACCAATATCTCATTTTAAAAGAAAATAAACTAAAAAAACAGCTGACCAAACAAATAATAAAGGTATTTCACAGGGGCCGGTTGTATGAAAGCCGAATAGCGGTATCCACCGGATAGTGATATTTCAACCGTTCTAAAAATGCTAGAAAAGGGATCAAATTCAGCTTTGGAAACCACAATTATTAAAGAGGATCATTCATTCAGAAATACTAAGATTTACTAAGAATTGAACGAGTGCAACGACGAGCCACTAAATTCATACTATCATTGCCATATAAAACCAATATCTCGTACAGGGAGAGAATGATGACTGTTGGAATCATCCCTCTGTGCTACTGGCATGAGTATTTAGACATAGTTTACGTACTCAAAAACAAAAACAACTGCGTCAAAAACAACTCGGACAATCATATTTGTAAAAAGCCATCTTTACGAGAAACAAGGAAGTCAAGTACGTCAAATGGCATTTTGTTAAATGTAGCCAAGAGTCGAATGTCAGTTTTAAAACAGCTTCTACATCAGAGCTGCCAACGTTTGGAACACCCTTCCATGTTCTGTGAGAGATATCTCTATATCCCTTGGGTCATTCAAAGCACTTTTAATGAAATACTATGCAGATCTGACGGAACGAATTTACAATCAAGATGATCCTAAAACTTTCAAGTCTGTTTGTGTGAAATGTCACACAACTCGGCCTTTACGGATCATTTCAACAAGACCCTGCTGCAAACATTGCAATTTATGGCACTTTCTCAATACATGACTGATCCGCGATTTTCTTCTCTAACCAAAATTTAATTCAATTAACATTTACGAATCTTGACTTCGGTTTCGATTAAATCATTTCACTTGATATAAGTTATTATAGTTTCTTCATGTATCGAGAAATTCCTATAAATTTGTTAAGTTGCTTATATGTGTATGTTTGTGTCTGTCTGTCTGTCTATTTGTAAGTAAGTTGTGGAACCCCATTATTGGAGACATATATCTCTGTGTGGTGATTCCAGCCATTGCATGTGTGTAGTTCATTTGTAGTTTATGTGTAGTTCATTGTAACTTTTTAACATGGCAAATTTATAAAAGAAATAAAAATAAATAAAAAAAGGAGGGATGATTAAATGAACCGAAAATAAACAAGAACGTACCTGGATTGGAGTGATAAACAGGTCGCGGGAAGTGTGGTGGTTGAGAAGACAGTGAGCAACATTTTGAGGAACTGCGGGAATAGAAGGGGGGCCATAGGGACCGGGTAGGTGAATTGGACTCTGAAAGAGAATATATATAGTTGTAGTCACAAAAATTATTATTCTACATATATTCTGCACCATCTATATATCAATCTATATATTCTGCCCCAGAACTCTTATTTTTTTCGGTTCTGCAAATGTAAAATATTTGAAAAGACTTGACTTGCATTGTTATATATGTGTCTAACTGGGAATAGTAAACAATAAAAAACAACACAAATCTGAAATGAATAAATAACTGCTCTTGCATCCCACACTTCACGGCAAACCGCAATTGAAGCAGGTCATACACGTTTTATGCAGTTAAATTTGGAAAACTGCTTTTCATGCGATTCTTAAAAGAAAACATAGTAAAAAACATGCTGTTCTTACCTAAGGGTTCATATTAAGAGGGAATCCTGGAGGAGGTCTGACCTTGTGTACACCATTCGCAAACAGCCGGAGATGAGGTGGTAACTGATTAACCTGGTGACCAAAACCCATCTTCCGACGTATTGGCTTCGATATTCTCTTCCAAAGGGTCGAAACTATGAGGTCGTCCTAGAAAATAAAAAGAATGATTATATAAAACCCTTTTGAACACCTCTTTAAAATAAAATCATAAAACTGAATATGTATATAATAACAAACATAATAATGTTGATATGATAATAATTTTAGATAGTCTATTCATAAATATGTATGATAACAACAATGCTACAGTCTGTTCCCGTTTGTTAATTAACACCAGTCGCCCCGTAGGACAAACACGCTCTAATGTTGTGAATATGATCAAAATCAAAAGAACATAAACATAACGTTCATTCCTGGTTTTACAGATTCCGGCTTTTCCCATTCCTGGTTTTACAGATTCCGGCTTTTCTCATTCCTGGTTTTACAGATTCCGGCTTTTCCCATTCCTGGTTTTACAGATTCCGGCTTTTCCCATTCCTGGTTTTACAGATTCCGGCTTTTCCCATTCCTGGTTTTACAGATTCTAGCTTTTCTCATTCCTGGTTTTACAGATTCCGGCTTTTCTCATTCCTGGTTTTACCGTTCCCTCTTCCTTTCCCCATTCCTTTCCCCGATTCCCCGTTCCTTGTTTTACAGATAGCCACATGAAAACTGCTACTATAGTGTTAGGAAACCTGCATTAATTTGTTTTAAATAATCAGTGATATTATGTTCCTGTTTTGTTGTAAAACGTTGTTTTCAAGGTTTTTAATATGGCTCCGCATAAGATATGAAAAAAATGGTGGTATTTTTGTAAAGAGTGTTGTTGTACAACTTACACCAACTTAGAATTTTAGAATTTCTCTCGAATCAGTAGCGTAGCCAGCCTGACAATCTAGATTAGAAATTCATTGCTCTCACAGTCAATATTATCTCTTAGTATACACCCGACTATTGTCAATTACAAATCCTACATTCTGATTGGCTACTCAACCATTGTCTATTCGTGATGGTGAACGTTTGGGAAAAATTCGCTCGCGCGACGGTATAAAATTGTAGTTAATTAAATTATTTTTCGGTGTAATTGCGGTGTATCGATTATTTTCGCGAAATTAATATATCTATAGGTGCAGGGTGTGTACTAAAACAATTAGACAACTCGCCTTCGTTGTCTAATTGTTAAATAGTAGGAGAATAACTACTATGGCGAATATGGCAATTTCATAGGACACATTGTGTCAACACCGTACCTATATTAATAAGCTGGAATTTAAAATGCATCTCTGAAAATATATTGTCATTCGTATTTTTTGTTTCAACAATACCCAAGATTGATTTCCGATGTTTTGATCGACAAGTTAAAGAATACGCTTCTGTCGTTTGGTGGTCGAATATACGAAAAGCAGAAGCTCCGTGCTATAGCGGTTGCAGGGGTTCATTTAGGCAACAGAAGGACTTATTTTTATTTCATCGATGAGATAATCTGTGTTTTAGGCTGCAAATTCATGCAATGATGAATTAAATTTTTTTCCTGTTATCGATGGTCATTGCGCTTGATTTATACATAAATTATATTGATTTTTTTCCTATTTAGTTAAACATGCTAACAATAGACAGCCTGTTCTCGAGCTTTGGCCCAATGCAAAGATAACATATTCAATGCCTGCTGGGCAAATTTGAAATGATATTTTTAACCTCGCAACGATTTTACATATAGCTGAGGAAACCGGGCTTCTGCTCACTTCACTTCACGGGCAGCACGGAGACTTTTACTGAAGACGGAAAGAAACTACAACGAAATGTGAGTAAAGCTTCTATCTATTGTTTGATATTTCCATTCATCTCGGCACTCCAATGCATGCATGCATCTAACTAACGTGAAGGAAAGAGATGAGACTTTGCATTGCGATAGGATTACACGGTTATATAAGCTATTTTCTTAACCAGAAATACATGAATAAACTTCCACCTTCTTGTTTTAAATTTACAAGATAAGCAATGTAGTCCTAATTATGTGCTATATCGAATATACATATATATTTCAGAAAAAGTATATATATTAATCAGGTGGTCGATAAATAATGAAAAGAGACTGCTTAAAGTAGTTTTGGTCGAAACGTGGGCGGATGGGCGTTCAGTCAGTGCATGCATTCCTATAAGACTTTTTCTCATGACGTATTCGGCATGGACGTAATTTATTCCCACTTTTTGTTTTAAAGTTAGGAAGTAATGTGATCCCTATATACATAAACAGGATTAAACAATTTCTGAAAATTCTTATAGTCTTATATATAGCGCGGAATAAAGGACCTCATTAAGGGGCCTTCTATAGCGCCGCAAGTAATTGTTGCGCCGCAAGTAATCGTGGTGTTTATCTTTTAGATGGTCATGAAAGGTTTATTGACGATCTGTTTGTTTCTCATTGTCTTTGAATTTTCGCGGGGAAATGTGATGTCAAGACGTAAGAACCTTAATGATAAAGACAGCCATCATAAGTATTCGTCATGCAAAATTTTTAAAATAAAGGACAACAAAAGTTGTACAAATCATGGCATGTATATCTGCTACTGCAGGCATAATTTTTACAACATTAATATCTTATATAGGGAAAACAGAGTGCAAAAAGCATGGTGGATTTTGTATACCTTTCTATCAAGGTAGTCCAACCTGCAAAGACTATGGCGCTGTGCCCTACAGATATTCGTGTCTTTTAGGAGCAAACTGTTGCCGCTACAAAAAGGTTTACTAAGATGTGGGACAGGTACACTATACTTTGTGTACTAGTTATTTTCTATTTTTACCCCAAGAAAGTGTTATAGGAGCGCGAGCATGGTGTAGAGATGCTCGTCTCAAGCCTATAGCTACACGCAAATGGTGTGCGAATGCGATTTAGGATAACACATCTTTGGTGTTCTCCAACACCTTTTTCATGTTAGGTTAACACTACGAGAGGATTGTCATATTTCCCCTGGAATCAGGAGTGTTTTTTTACATCCAACATTTCATTTTGAGCGTTAGAATACACTACTGTTCAATTTCATGAAAACCAACACGAAAATTATTATCATTAATAAAAACTTTTAGCTCTTACTTTCTTCCATTGTTTTTTATAGTCATCATAATGAGTTTTCCTTTGTACTTTTCTTTAGGTTGTAAGTTTGTTGAAAGTAGTTACAGAACAATCGACGAATGTCATATATATATATATATCTATACTATTTATTATGGTGTTCTGAAATTGTAGAAATAGATTGGCTGGAACTTTAATAAAAACAACGGGTGCGACTATAAGTGTATGCTTGGATTTTTTATTACTATATATTTTACGTTGATCAGTTAGCTACTATATTACTTTAACTTTTATATCCTTTTCACAGTATTGAAGTGAATGAGTTTTGGTTTGATTCTGATTTTCCTTAAAGTACGCCTAGCGTTTTTTAAAAAGGGGTAATAATTATAATGAACAAGTGACGTATAATCGTCAAATCTTTATGACGCTTGCAATGTACAATTATACATAGGAGAATTAGGTCTAGAGCTCTACGAGAATTAGGAAGTGTAATAGAATTAGGTCTTGAAGCCCTGTTGCATCAGTTATAAATTCCCATTACCAAAGATCGATTGTTTGGACCAATTGTTTTTATACCAATTTATATAAGCATATACATACAGTAAATAACTCGACGGAAGATTTGTGCGTGACACTCGCGAGTATAACAAGTAGCGAGACTGCAAGTCCGTATTGCATGGGTACGAATGGCGAGTCAGTGTTCCAGTCAATCGCAAGTAGCAAACATTGGTAAAAGGAACACAATGTTTAGTTGTGCTCAACTAAAATTCTTTATTTTATCATAAGAGAATAGCTAGTATTTCCATGCTCTATATCTTATAGTGCCTGAAATTCATCAAGTTATGGCGAGGGCTTTGAAGCATGGGGAAAATGCGGGGTTAACAAAACAATATAAAAACAATGACACCGAATCAATTAGTAATTGTTTATTGACTCTATTCGTGACTCTATTGAATTCATTAGCAACTGTATATATTATAAAAGGTGTCCTAAAAAACACTAAAACTCTTGAAATCACTTAGTGTTAAAATTCGAATGACTTACATATTCGCGAAATTTTGCTCGTGGGGATTAACACAACTTTATTATAACATAAAATGCTAAATAGGCCTACATTTTCTAAAGAGTTAAGGACATGCCGAAGGTCATGCTTTAGTTTTAATTTTAAATATTGTTATCTACACGTACGGCACAAATAAAAGTCTCACGGCGCAAATGAAAATCTCTTGCACGGCACAGGCAATTCTCACGGTTATTCATATTTGTAAAGCGAATAAAAGCGTATTGGTAATAAAAGTCATTTGTTGGTATATATACAAAAAAATTTTACTGCCATGTCACATGCATAAAAAATGCCTACGTCAAACATTTATACACTTGCATGTGGGTCCCTATTACATTGTTATATGTGATTTCAATGCAGGTTTTGCTTTTTATTGGGAAACTCTGCAGAGTAACTAATGCATGAATTCAATAAAATCGAAGCTAAATGTACACACACAAAACAGTCCAC